TAGGCCGTAGGCCTAGGACCTTACCCGGCTTRTGTCTGTCATAACCCATAAGGTTGCATATAGACGTTAAATATGAATAATAATAATAATAATTTATTATAATTTATAAATCCTAAAATTAAGTATTTTAAATAGTAATATAATTATAGATATATTATAGTATCTTATTTATAAGATATTAATATTGGTTTATTAATGATTCTGGATATATATCTTATTTAAAAATTATAGATAAATCTAACTAATATTTAATAACTATTTTCTACCCTAAAATAGATGTTTCTTTTCTTCAAGTTTAGCTAGGGTTTAGTTTTTATATTATATTTATATATTATCTAAAAATCTTTATCTAAATTATTCTAAATAATAAGATATAATCTATTCAACTATATAACATTTACCTTTAAATGCTCAACTAATACCTCCTTATTTGGACTAGAGCCAATCTAATTACTATGGGAAAATACTCAAGTGAACTTCTGTTGAGCACATTCTACTGATAGTTTGATCATCAAGGTAAGCTGCTCCATTGACCACTCGCATAATGGTATACTGATACTAGTACATAGGGGGCTTTCTACCTATCTATATTCGCAATCAAAACAAAACTTGGTTAGGCCAATCTATCAACATAGATTCTTACTCAGATTCTAGGTTATACATATATGTTAATACTATCGATGAGGGCACCCTCTTGGGTTCAAGTGATTGCGTAAGTATCGTTTCCCTTATCAAATATGAAATGGGGGAAATGGCAAGTCACTAAATTGAGTCCGTACAGTGTGTTTACTTCATTATAGAGCACACCAAGAAGACTTGATTTGAGGATATGTGAAATTGTAGACTAAGATGAATAAAGAATTCCACTAAGAAAGATTCGTCCCAAGAATTGGGGGGCATCCACGTCAAGCATATGAGAGCCATACATTTATCATTTTAAAGATAATCTACTCTCATTTGCCCCAAGAGCCGCGAGTTGCAATGGTGTCGACGGAGGCATCCCCGTCCTCTTCCCGCTTGCCCCAAGAGCCACGAGTTGCRATGGTGTCGACAGAGGCATCCCCTCCAGTAGCAAGTTCATCACGCGGAGAGATGGGACGAGCAAGAGTCACTGACCCTAATGAAGCAGTCACAAAGAGTGAGAGTAAAGTGTGGACCTTCATTGCGATGATTGTTTCGAATGATGAGAGCAAGGTGGAAAGAATATTGGTTGGGTGAATGTTGGTAGCAATGTAAAACCAGGCTTGAAAGTCACTGGGGAACGCCAATTTATACTTGCATCTCCAGCTCGAGAGCGCCTCTATAAAGTTTTGTCCTTATTCATACCTATAAACTTGTTCTGCAGTAAATATAGTACCTGTACATGCGCTAGATAGGAAATAAACAGGTTCAGAAGTAATTGATATTACGAAACGCCACCCCATTATGATGTGCCATTCACTAACGTCCGAACCAGTTAGCATGTCGATGCCATTTCAGTGTGTTGACATGAGAGTTTCTTCCTGGTGCAACGTCAATGGGTTTGGATTTTTAGGAGGGGATCGTCGGACGGTATAGCGTGGGCGTCTCTACATCACGGTCATGTATGGTATTGAAGGGTTTGTATGTAACGTTTTCAGACATTACAAACGTTACGAGCCGGCATTAGATACACTGTATCGTATTATGTTATGTGGTAGGTAGTTTTAGAACGCATTATGGAAAGTTACTCAGAGTATTCAGAAAACTCTGTAATTCTCTGTAATCTAATAGCCCTTATGTACAGACTATCACGTAAACATTACGGGCCCCACGTAAGTTACTTTGTGTTAAAGTTTTTGAGTTTGAATGAAACCCTATCTGGAGTCTCAAAGAGGAAAATTGACAATCTAAGTCTGATTCGGGGGGGCCAAAATGCACATATGATGTTTGGTTGTTGGCTCCTATTAATTACCTGAACAATCAATTTTTTGGAGACCCGCGAGACTACTACCAAATTGGGAATTGAAGTTCACACATGATCCACTCACTAACCATAACTCTACCGTACTTCACCGCCTGATAACCAATTTTGACTAGAAACGAGAAAAATAATCATTGGTTTAAAGCGCGTCAACTGATTAAATTCAAACGCCTAGCTAGCCCTAATAAGCACTTAGCTAAAATACAGGCTGGCACACTTGTACCGGATTTATTCGGCTTTTCACCTCGAAATATGAACGACGTCTTATCTCTGTTGCGAAAGTTATCAAAATTGCTTAAGCATCGGAATATCAGCATGCATGAAGTCACCTGGATTGTTGCTGTGGGTCATTCATAAGGTCCTCATATAGATACTACAACTTGACACGGAGCTTGTGGAGTTGAGGGATTTTGTTGATACAAATTACGAGTATCACAGTACTGCAAGACCTGTTTTGATATCCATAATACCGTGACTACTGGTTGTATGAAACGATTAATTGTTGTTTCAGGGAGATCGAGTTACTCTCTACAGACAAGTGCTTGAACACGTCGAGGAAGCATTTTCACAACCACTTTTGCCAACCTCTCATCTTCACATGAGCCCATGCTGAACAGAAAAGGGATTTGCGGAGTTCCTCTAGTCGACATGAAGGAAAGTCCATCAGAAAGCTTTCAATCCCACCGGAGTCGGTATTTGCAGGATCGATATTTATTCTTCATTCTTTTTGTGGTTGGATTATTCGTGGGAATAGGGATCTCACAGGGAGTTAACTTCGCTATTGGCAATGGCATATCATCTATACAACAAAGAACCTTTGAAGTTGCTGCCCCCTCTCCCTGTGGCTCGGATGCGAAAACGGCACAAGCGAACGGCTGCATCTTTGAAGTTCTGAGCTTTGCTTGGGTGCCCCCGGAATGCCATGATCACGAAGCTGAAAAGGGCTTCCTGGCATCAGGGAACTGGTCATGGTTCGCACATGCCCCGGGCGTGTCCGCGGATAGTCTTCGTGACTTGCCTCTAGGAGGACTACCGCCACTCCCACCTTTATCACTTGACCAAATCCGTCAAGGAACACACCATGGAGTTCATGTCACATGGGGATATCACGTTACACACTGTACGTATATCTGGCAAAAAATGCATCGGGCCTTTCTACGTGGCAAGTTTGTGGATAGTTATATGATGGAAATGGAGCACACCAAGCATTGCTCACGGCGCTTCCTAGAAAGCGCTACAGGAAAATTAGACGAAGATACGGGCTTGATAGTCGGCCCTCCACCCGAGTGGGAAAGCTGGGTTACACAGCTGGCACTTAAATTTCCATCATGCCAGGAGGCACTTATGTTTGCTTAGGACTAGAAGTACATGCAACGAACAAGCTTGTGGAAACGAGAAATATATCGTTAAGGAGCAAATGAAAAATAACTTAGACTGTGCGTTCTTCCATTTAGACCCACAAAGAGGCCTGTTCCGTCTCAATTCCCATCATAAAGCATATAACTAATCTCAAGTTCTGGTATAAAGTGACTTGTGACGCCGGCACAATCAAGGAACCGAATTTAGTCTGCTTGGGTCGTCATCTGAAGGCTCATTGTGCCATACGTAATCATCATCCAGCGGCACTTCGCGCTCATGGGCAAACTCCATCAAATCGCCCCAGCTTCGGCACTGATGTGCAGTATTGAAATCCGGATAAGGGCCATGAACACCCTTAACCCAGCGAAAAGTAACAATTCCAGTATCAGCAGTACACATGAGCCGCTGTCTTATGATGTCAATGCAGTGTTCGTAATGCTGTTCGTAAAACAGGGGTCGGTCTTTTTTCAGAGTTGCTGCAGCTGAGTAATATTCTAGGTGATGATCTTCCCAAACTTTCTTAAGGCAGTGTAGCTGGTGCGTGACCTCCAATATTCCCAGGAAACCTCCACCCAAGTCGCTTGGATATTTAACAGAGTCCAGGGAGCGGCCAAGAGAAACCATGTCTTCTGTGGTTATGTTGAGTAATGGTACGTCATCCGTAATACGCTTCCATGCCATCTCAACTTCATCCGTAGGAGGGCCTTTATAGGGAGTCCACTTGGCGAATGTTCCCTCGAAATGAGTTGTTCGGTACTTATCTCCCATAGCTTCTGAGGCAGGAGTCCAAGTACTGTGACGGGCAGCACATAGAGATTGATAGTGCAAGTTCGAGCGATAGACAGTCAGAGTGAGAGCCGTGATTATGATCAGAGCTAGGCCATGAGAAAACCAGTGTAAAATAGAGGCGATGGGTAGTTTTCCCTTGTTATGTTTCGACCGCCTAGTCACTGCCACTGGTGAATCTTTCAACCCTGATAGCCGTGCAGTCTCAGAATCGGATTCTTCTTCTCCATCAATGGAAGAAGGACGCTGACCGAGGTCGTCATAACCAAGTCTGTAGTATTTGCCTGCTTTTGCGCACGCTTTCTGCATCTTTCTGCCGTCTCGTATCTCTCAGACAGTTTTTTCTCAGTGACAAGAGACCCAGAAAGTCAAAGAGATTATATTTAGCGACCTCAACAGACAAAAGTGTTCAATCACAACTCTAGCTTTGGAGGCCACACAGGGGGAATGCGCTGGGATAACCTCTGATAACTTGATGAATGATAAGGGAGAACTTCTGATTGGCACCACGTAGTAATTAAATTTCTACGAAATGTGACAAAAGAAGAGGGGAATTATCATTAAATGAAAATTGAGTTTAAAACGAATTATTGGGGATTCCTTCTAAACCCAGCTAATGCAAAGATGTTTATATCATCGTAAATCAAAGGTATTGGTAATTTTACCAATACACTGGTGCGGCAATGTTCCGTGTTTCAATACAGTAATTACCATCAGTGTACTGGTAGATTTTCGTATGTAAATTATCTTTTTGCAAAATGCTTTTCCAAACCATGCGCTGGAGAAGACTTTTCATCTTTTTCCCGCTGGTTCCAAAATATCCAAGTGAAAGGTTGCTTCGCAAAATCAGCAAAATGGTGACTTCTTTTTGGAATTTCCCTAAGCATTTGGCTCGCTATACCCTGTTGCCAACTTCAGAAGAGGCCAAAGCAGGTGTCCAGTCTCCTCGAACTTCGTTTCGTCGTACTTGGATTCCCTTATTGGGTCTTTCAATTCTCATCAACGTGATATTCATTTGGACTCTGATATCACCTGCAGGGTGTACACTCATGCCTATTCTATATTGTTCGTCTACTCAGATATCTAAGCTATTGTCTGCCTTGCTGTTACTGATACTTCATTAATATTAAGCTCCGGCACAGGAAGCTGTCAGTTACAAGATTACAAAATTCCACAGCGGGTTTAATGATGACGTGACTGAATACATGGGACCACCATCGGATGAACTTGACCAAAAATGGGATGCTCTATACGCCGGTCAGTATATGGAATCATCGATTCTTTGCGTTACAGTGGTTAACTTGAATAGCTGGCGTGAATCGAATTCCTAAGAGCCAAGCTGCTCTCTTGCCCAACAAGACAGTTCCAATTCCTGGAGATGATGGCTATTATATTATCACATTAGACGTCTTTCATCAGCTTCATTGTTTGGTGAGTATACATTTGAATGATGTACATAATCGAAAGGGAAATTTAGTGACCTAACTTTTTTCGCATCTAGAACATGATTCGCAAAGCACTATCTCCGGATTACTATCACCCCATGCACTTGGCAGCTGATGGTGAGGACAATCTTCTTGGTTTCACACATATTGATCACTGCGTTGACACTATACGACAATCATTGATGTGCCATTCGGATATCAGTGTGCTACCATTTCAGTGGAAGGATCATGATCAAGAAGTCAAGATATGGGGTCAAATCCCACATGTCTGCCGTGACTTTAATCGGATTACAGAATGGGCGCAGGCAAACCAGTTCCATGGTCAGTTTGATCCAAAAGTACACTTGACAGATGACATAGTCATACCCGAATTTCAAGTAGATTAGGTTCAGTAAATGAGCGGCGATGCTAGATTCTAGTTGCTGTTTTCTGAGTTTAAAGTCATCTACGCCATTACTGCATCTCTAGTATTTTGCTGGGGACAAATCTTGCTACAAATATCCGAGAAATGATGTCTTGGCCAATATCATAGATGCTACGCAGTTACTGGTCAGACTTAATGAGACCTAATGTACTAGCGTTGAGGTTAACGTTGCCCGAGTATAAATAATCTTACTTTATTCATAACTCTCGACTTATTATTCTTTGCAAAACTTCCTAATTTCAAACTAAACCGTGCCATCGCTCGTGCCGAAAAGAAATGGCATCACCTTATTGTGCAAGTCATCTTGAAGAGGACAACCTCCAGGAGTTTTCAAGTAGCTCGGAGGATATAGAGCTTTTGATTTACGATGACAAATACATAGGAGAACATGTGTCGAAGTCTCTTCAATGGACAAAAAGTTTCAATTTCTGGTTTCAGAAGCCACCTCTCAAGATATGGCTGATTCATGTGTTGGCTTTCATACTCTATACAATAGCATTTTTGCTTTTCACGAAATCTACAGTTCGACCGATTTTAGCAGGACAGGAACAACAACTTGTTTATTGTCTGTGAAAAACTTTCCGAAATGCAGGAATCGACATTATAATTTAGGTCTAATTTGTCTACAGCTCCAATACGAGAGGCTCTCCAATATGAAAATCGCGTGATTAATACCACCGTCACACATCTCAACAGCTTCTCCGGGCCACCCGGGCCTGACATCGATCGTGCTTGGAAAGATATTTTAGGACATGGTAGGCTCAAGATCTTTCCGATATTTCTTCGCCAGAATCGAGAACTCAAGATAACAGCGAGATTATTTGGAAAGTTCAGTTGAAAAGCTAACGATCTTGCACAGAAGTCCATCTACGATTGACCGAAACCGATATGGCCCAGTTGAGGCGTTCATCCATCCCGTTGACCGACAAACCAGGCACGTATTTGGGGGCTCCTGATGTGAGTTATCAGAACTATGTAACGTTGGATTACAACTGTGGCTTAATAATGGCAGATCTATCATCAACTCCATTGTGTTTACACTCTTTACCGAGCCATCCATCCTGAGTATTACGATGGAGAGGCCAATAAGGAGGCAACCATTACGCCGGTTGAACATCTTGACCATTGCATTAATCAACTCAGACAAGTAAGTTTTAGCCTCCTGTCCTCGCTCCGTCATTCCAGAAAAGGAAGCTCAATCTAATGCATCTGATAGTATCTGCAGTGTCACGTATCCAGTAGCGTTTACACTTACCGTTGGGAAGTGGAGAAAGCCTTGATGACGGGGAATTTTGACCCGGAAAACGAGTGTATAAACTGGGAACGATTTGACGAGTGGATCAAAGGTCACGCCGTCGATATTAAACATCCTGGTTTACTCGTGCATCCTAATTTTGGGCCTCTATATCCAGGCTAAAACTGAATCAGAATGTGGATTTGAAAAAGCGGGATAGATAGCATAGAGGTCAGGTTCATTTTGAGCTGCAAGTTACGTTACCGTGCGTTACTCGTAATTAAACAGCGTATTGAACGTATGCAATGCGGTGTATTGTAATGATAGGAATCGTAATATTTCTCCATCGAGTTGTATTATAATCATAAACTTCAGATGTCAATGCTATCATTGCTCGTGCCTCCTCTCAGAGTACCGAATATACTTTGATCATAATTTCCTTTCGCACGCCTTGGCCTTGATGGTGAGTCAAATTTAAATTTTCAATTTTGAGAATTGCCCAATTGATTTTAACAAAGACATGGCCTAGATAGGATGTTCAATCGACCCGGAGCCCTTTAAGGGTGTTGATAATTGGTGGCGGATTAGGTGATTAGTGCACAATTCTTGAATTTAAAAGCTCTTGCTCATTTTGGAAACAGGAGGTCTATCATGTGCTATCTCTTGCTTACGGCAAGGATTGCCCGTACAGATAGTCGAAAAGTCATGCGAACTTAGAGAAGTGAATGCAATTATTTTTAGGAAGAGGTGACGCCGTCTTGCTGATTTGCTTTTATATGGAGCCAAATAGGTAGGAGCCGGTATCCAGTTGCCACCAAATGCAGTGCGCATCATGGATCATTTCGAGTTGATGCCGAAGATCATTGAGACAGGAGCTGTTGAGGTACCAACCTGGCGCTTAATGAGATACTCCGATGGGAAACAGATTGTTGCCAGGCCCGGTGCTTCCTGGTTGAAAAGGCACTTTGGTCAGACTTGGTAGTAAGCTTATCTTTACCAACTTTCCATTTCCTATTGCTATTGTCTAACTAACGGGAGTAAGTGTCGTACATCGTGCCGACTATCAGAAAGTGTTGTTAGCTGAAGCCAAGAGACTTGGTGCTATTATTCACTTGAATGCAGAGGTCACTTCAGTGGATGTCTTGACTACTTCTGTTCTCCTTGCTTCTCAAAAAAGAATTTACGCCGATATCATCATTGGCGCTGATGGTGAGTTTCTGCCAATTGTCTGTCTCTAGCTGCCCATTATCTTACCGCAAAAGGACTGCATTCGGTCACTCGCTCCGAACTACTTGGGAGCCGCTCTAGGCCTATTGAAACTGGAGATCTCGCATATCGCACGATCATCCCAAAAGCGTCAGTCCAAGCTTTGGGAGATAACATTTTTGGGCTGGATGCTATCCATACTTGGATTGGGCCGGGTCAACACGCCGTTCTCTATCCCATAAAACATGGAAATTATTACAATCTAGTTCTATTGTAATTATCTAAAGAGTGAATACTTGTTTCAAATTGTTCCTAACAACCAAACAGATGCCCTGACGATTTGCCTTCTCAGACCCTAAAGACGCCGGGAGATTTGAAGGAAATGCTCGGTCTATTCCATGGGTGGGATCCCAGGTTCGTTTCTGTGTCTCCAAGTCATGACCACTTCAATCTAATAAACATGTTACTACTAGGCTTGGGAAGCTTTTAGAGCATGTCGAGGATGTCACAAAATGGAAGATTCTTCACATGCCTGAGCTTGACACCTGGCATAAAGTGAGCCCGAAAGCCTAATCCTATGAAGACATCGAACTAAATGATTGATTTACATTATTTTTGCAGGGCTCGGTTACACTGCTGGGAGATGCTTGTCATCCTACGCTCCCGTATCAAGCTCAAGGCGCTGCCATGGCCGTCGAAGATGGTGCAACATTGGGGACCCTACTCGGCGAGTTCTGTCGCTTTCGACAATTTCAAAGACCAGAGAAGAATGTGACTATTGCAATTCCGGATGTACTTGAATTATATGAGCTTACTCGTAAGAAAACAACAACACTGAATGTGCAAGGGGCTATCGAGAATCGTCTTCTATATCATATGGAAGATGGCTCAGAATGCGACGAAAGGAACAAGAAATTGGCCGCGATTGACTGGGATAGTAAAGATTTGACAGGCTTTGAATGGAGTTGGGGTAACGTGAGCTACCTTGAGAAGCTTATGGGTTGCGATCCTATCGAGGATGCAAAAGCGCAATTTCGGCGAAGAGTCTTATCTAGTCGCATGTAACAAGTAGTTACGCCAATTGAATGAGATTGTCCTAGCCCGCTGACGGCTATGTTAGGCCAAACCCTAATCCGTTTCTTTGGTTGTAGAGTGAATGGTGAAAATCGAAGAGGGTTCGATTACTTGTTTGTCGGCGAAATATTTGAGGACACATGGTATGAAGACCATCCAAATATTTGCAATGAGCTGATTCAAACAATCCTTGTAAATGAGACCCGTGCCACGCTGTAATTTGATTTGAGTATGATTAACCACTATGTTGTTATATTGCATGTTGATGTTATGTATTTAGAGCTAGTAATATACGAGTGATACTGTTAATTACCGTTTATTACGTCCCTCATCCCTGCGAGCTCGTGTATGTATTTTGTGTGGGCCAAATGGTTTCGGTACATTTTCTGGATACGCTTGGTATTTGCTTAGATACTATGGTTGACTCCGGTGATTTCTATAGTACATTTATTATTTTGCTGTCATACAGGGATTATAATATAGTGCTATACTTTTTAAAGCTAATAAATGGCTATTAATGTACTATATAATATAGAGACTTTACTTATTAAAGTAAATAGTCATTTAGTAAAGTACCGTACAAAGTATTATATTGCCTGTATTTACGTCGGGAGATAAACATACTATGTAAATCACCGGGGTCAACCGGAGTAGTATGTTTGTATACGTAGTAAGAGTCTACGGTTGTCGGGAGGTGACGCGACGGGTAAGAGAAAAACTTAAAAATCCTTATTTCCACCATACATATGCTAGATTCTGCTACATACTTAACTCCGAGAGATATGAGACAAGCGCTATCTATGTGGACAGTCGGGTGTATCCGATTTGGCATCAAGGAGGCAGTGCTCTCCTCAGTGATACCATGAGCAGTTTCCTAGCCTGGAATACGCTGGATGATACGCAATATGTACGATGGAGTTTGCGAGCTATTATCGCCACGTCTTTGTCCGACGATAATCCCGTCAAATGTGGCTCTCAACAGACCGGGTGATATTGGCCAGGTTTCTAATGACAAGGAGTCCAAGGATGTATCAGAGAAAGTATAGGCATGGAAGCTTCAACTGCATTTTAATAATTTTCGGCTGTAAATGTTATCCCTTATTGAATGGTATTTCCGCCTTTACCCCTATGTTTAACAACGATTTTCTTAATGGTGTGTCCGAAGTTCATGTTACGAAACCAACTTGCATGATACTAGGCAGAATCTAGTACTATTAAGGGAAGGTGTTTATTAAAGCAGCTAACACCATATCTAGTCATTTCTATAACTAGATATATAAATAGTCAGTTTAAAAATATAAACTTATAGTTAATATAAGTAAGAATATATAATTATATATACTCAAAATAATATTTAAAAGTATAAAAAGAGTATATATAAAAGAAAAAATAATTATTAGATATATATTTATATATATACCATAAGATATAAAAAAAAATATAATCTATATAAATATATTTATTTATTATATTGTTACGAATCAACCTGCATAACGCTAAAATATACTATGACCAAGGAGGAAAGGTCACTCTAGATTTGCGAGCATATAAACCATATAATAACAGAATAAGTAGAAGAAGATCAGACTAAGATACTTCGGTATAGAACACGCACTAGATTATATGAAGATATAAATAGCATACTAATATCTTAATGTCGGTTCATCCGGTCCAAGATCAGCTCAATTGGATTGGGAACAGACTAGTCTAATAAGCCTAAAAGATGAGGCATAAAAGGGTTAATATTTAATTCCTAATTCATATCTAATTATTATAAAAGAGAGTATTAGAGGTTTAATAATATATAAATAATATATATATACTTTAATAAGGAATAACTATTTATTAGAATATATATAGTAAATATATAGTTATTAAATACTAAAATTAGATATCTAAGATTAATATTAATATTCTAACACTAGTAACTGTCGGAAACCGATGATATGGAATCGTCTAGATCAGAGTAAACTCGTCACTTAACAGCGGTTAGATAGTATTCTGTTTAGGAAAGAGCAGTATACCTAAGTAATAACAAGATAATGTCAGAGAAAGCAAGAAGTCACAGCCAATGAATCAGGCCCCCATGCAYRGAAGCTAATGTACGATGGAATAAAGGATTATCTACAATCACTAGAGTTAGAGTAATAGAGCTAATAGAGCTATTTAGTAGTAAATAAATATATTAAATATATTTACTAAGAATAAAGCCAATAAAGCTCTAATAAGAACTCTATTCTAATAGCTATATTAATAATAAGATATATAAAAACACTTATTTACTATATATTTAGTTTTAGTCTATTATCTTAAATTAATTATTTAACCTTAAATATACTATTACTTATAGATCTAATTAACTAAAGCTATCTTATTATTATTTAAATATACTACTCTTTTCTAAATAGAATACTATCTAATTATTATTAAGTAATAAGTTTACTCTAATTTAAATAAYTATAAATTATTAATTTATAATAATTYAAGATCYTTATTATAAAAAAGAARTTTTAATAAGAAAGTAATAGCTACTTTTTAATAAATATTAATATTTTTTAAGATTTAAATCTATAAGCCAGCATTATTAATATTAATTATAACTCTATTCTATTTATTTAGTAATACTATAACTACTAATAATTAAGATATTATATCTATTTTAGTAAAAATTAAAGAGCTTAAAAAATAAATTATAAAAATATATATTAATAATAGACTACCGGCCGGAACACGAGTTTCGGCACTTTTGAAAAACAGTCGTTTTTTACACGTTTTAGAGGGCCTTAAAGGCTTCTCAGCACCCAAAAACCCCCATGTGGACGTCACTAGGATCCCTAAAGGCCCCTGGAGGCCCCATATCGACAGGGGGTGGATTGGGGGTCGTTGGTGGCCACCAACCCCCAAMGCCAGGAAATCAGGCCCCAGAAGCCTCGCAGGCGTTAACCCAGCCATCTCTAGGCTGGTTACGCTCAGTTGAATCGATCCAGGGGTCTCTAGGCGCCGCCCAGGCGTTGCCACAAGCCCAGAGACCCCAACAGGCCTTCGAAACAGGCCCTGCAGACCAGCTGCTCTCAGGGCTTAGAGACACTATGAAGGCACCATTTGGGAGTGGAATAAGGGTCGCTAAGGCCCCTAGCAACGAATACAACCTCTGGAAGAGACCCCACGTCGGCTCTGGCGTAGAAAATGACACTCCGGGCATCTCAGGCCTGGTTATGGAGCACTGCAAGGACCTTATAGGGCCTATCCTACGAGAACGCGCAGGGCTCAAGACTACTATCAAGGACCAGGCAGCCCTTATAGAGTCCCTACGACTTAGGGTGGACCGCCTGGAACGTGTGGTGCAGGCCCTAGAGGCCTCGAAAAYCGTCCCCCCCAGCGCACCTATATCCGCGGAGGTTGGGACAAGCGACTCGGTGCCAAGGCCCGTTCCCGAATCTGGGTTAGCGCCTNAACCGTCCCCCCCAGCGCACCTATATCCGCGGAGGTTGGGACAAGCGACTCGGTGCCAAGGCCCGTTCCCGAATCTGGGTTAGCGCCTGCCCAAAACGGGCAAGCACCCGTAGCTAGGGGCCTAGCACCTAGTTTGAATGGACCCCAGGACCCACCCTGGCATCAGGCTCACGAGAATCGATAGAAATTGACCTCACCAGCGCCAGTGAGCTCCCAGGTGAGGCCTAGAGCGCTAAAACTGGCCACCAAACCCACGCAGGCACCCCTGGAGCAAGCACCTAGAAAGCAGGACCCAAGGGCAACGTACGCCCAACGAGCAAGCGCTGGGGAATGGACTACTGTGTGATATAGCAAGCAACAAGCAACGYCTATAGCGACTAATGAGCCTAGGCCAGTCCTAACAAAGCCGACTAGCATCCGGAGCAAAGAGGAACGATACCTAATCTTCCGGCGTGAGGAGCCTCTAGATACGCTTTACAGTGATACTTAGGATATCGTMTTAGGGCTCTTAGGGCTCTTAGGGCTCTTAGGGTTAGGGTTAGGGTTAGGGTTAGGGTTAGGGTTAGGGTTAGGGTTAGGGTTAGGGTTAGGGTTAGGGTTA